TCCCTCTTCTACAATTCCCAAAGAATAGGGTTTTAAGGGGGCTAAATTCACTCATTTCCAAAATTGGGATTTGAAATTTAACACCACCGACACTGCCCTTCAATTTTCTGTCCAAAGAAATGAGAACTGACAGCACAACTCTAAGGACAAGGAGAGGTGAGATTCTGACTTGAATCTGGGACAGAAGAGCTCTCAAATGTTTTTTAACTGGACTTGGGGAAAGGGCTCAGTGTACTGGGGAATAATACACAAGGGCATTAAAAATGACTGCCTGGCAGGTGTCACTTAGAATGGGAGTGGAGGGTTCTTTAGGGTCCAATTATTTCCAACATGGATTGTAAATGGAAGCAAGTCTAATGCAAAGGTATGTTTCTACCAGGTCTGGCTGTCTGAACTCAAGTAGATATTGACCGAACAATCAAACTGGAAAGCAAATGGGCTTGGAAAGAGGAACATGGATAGTCAGAGGGCGGACACTCAGGGAGCAGTTTGCACTGAATCTGAGCAGCCCACTCAGAATTAAAAGCTTTTGAGCACCAGTTGCAACTCCATTGGCCCCCTTCTGTCATCTGACCAGTGGTCAGGGCTTGCTAACCACCTGATATTTTCTCAGTTGGAGATAATAACTGGAATATATTTCCTTAACGGAAAATCTACCTGACAAGTGGTGTTTGTATGTGGCAGAAAATACAGCAGTTGCCATTTAAACTGAGACAGACGGAAAGATGGGAGCTTTTTGGCTGGCATTGGCAGAAGTAGGATGCAAATGTCACACTTTGGGATTCAGGATTGGCACTTGCTGCCCGTTCTCTGAATCTGCTTGTTTTCAATAAGCTATAATTGTGTGCTTGCAAATTAACAGATGTTACAAAGATGCTATGAGCCTCCAGTGCTTTCTCTCTCACTGCAAATAAAAAGATCCTGTTTGCGGGGGGGGGGAGTACACAGAGAATATCCTATCACTTGGGAAATGGGTAAAACCATTGGCCTCTTTTTGGAGTTATGTACCCTTCATACAATAGGTTGTTTAGGAAATGACCTTTCATGATAGTGAATAAGACCTTTACAAATACACTTTTAGAATGCCCTTTTTTCCATTGCGAAAATTCTACTCTACTGTGCATTCAGACTTGCTTACCTGGGGCATCCAGGGACAGGTAGCAAGAATGTGAGGCACAGCCAAAGGGTCTCCAGGATCACCATGATCACCCACTCTGGCCAGTAGAGAACGATATCCCTTAGTGGAGCCCACCAGTTACCAAACTTCAAAGAGAAGGAAATTCACAAGATCAGAGATACGGTCAAGAAAATAAATATGGCCACTTCCAGAAGAATGTGTGTCAGAACCACTCTTTAACCCCCAAAAGTTTTCTTCCCTCACCTTCATATACATCAATAGGAAATTGCTCTCTTAACTACATGAAAGTGAAAGCAGCAATTAGAATGTTAGCCACTTCCTGTCTCCGTCACTTGATTCACATGCAAAACACCCTGAAGACAATCCATCAAATCAAATCCTAGGCATACCTATGGAGGGAGGGTGAGTGAGCATGCTGAGTGCTCATAAAAAGCCATAAGGTCATATTTATCAAGCAGTTGCCCAGCTACTAGGTCAGTGATTTTGCATGTGTTCAGGCTGTGTGCAATATGCCTTCAAAAAAAAGAGAGAACTTTATTCATCTCATCTCCCATGTGCTAACCAGGGGAAAGTTTGTTGTGCAGACAATAGACAATGCAATCTACTATGCTCTCAATATGTGTCATGGACTGGCTGGATGCAGACGAGTGGTGGGAAGCACCAGCAGGAGAACCCCCAGAGGAACTCCCAGAGGATGAAGGCTCAGAGCCAGGGGAGTGATGGGGGGCATGATGGTGAGTGGTCAGAGGGAGAAGAGGGAGTAGACCGGGAGGAGGAGGTGTTGGAAGATGAAGAGGCAACAGGGTTGAGTGAGCAGGAAGAGGCTGTGGTAGAGAGCAGCTCAGAAGCAGAAGCAGAGGTGGGTCAAGAAGCAGAGTGGAGGCAGGCTGCTGAAGAAGCCAGAGTCTCCCTCTCCTGCTGTGACCAGCTCCCTTGCCCGCTGGTCTCCCAGAACACAGAGAGGAATGAAGAGGGCAAAGCAATGAGACACAATACAAAGGTGCCTTAGGCTGATAGGGAAGCAACCAGGGGAGGAGTCTTAGAGAGTGGTGGGAAGTTGGGGACCTTCAGTCCTCACAACTGCCTCACAGAGACAAGAAAGACTGATTGGGAAGAGTTGCTGGGATCACTAGGCCTGCACTGTTTTGGTTTCTTTGAATAAAGAGTTGACTTTACTGACGCCAGGTGTTTTATAGCGACCCTACTCCTGATCCAGCTCCTGACAATATAGCCCTGAGGATGGTGGGTACAGATGGGGGATTTTATGCAATACAGTTCTCCAGCCAACTAGTGGTTCAGTTCATTTTTTTTATGCCATCCTTTGTCACTGGATCTTTATTAGCTGAGGATTTTATGCTTGATGTGGTCACCCAAATTCATTCCTGACACAGATATGCAAACATAAATTGGGAAAGGGTTTAGCTACACATGCGTGTGTGTGTGTGTGTGTGTGTGTGCACGCGCACGCAGGAGAGCTGCTAGGACTACTGAAGTGTTCCCTTGATGCTCACTTCCAAGGAGCCCTTTCCCCTGCTAAATGCTGAGAGATGTCTGGTCTGTGCATGAAATGGGACTGGAAGGCATCTTTTCAAACATGAATGTGCAGGAGAACAGCCATCTTTAAATGCGTGCCTTTGGTGCCAGGTTTTCAAAGGTGGCTCCTGAGGGTTCTTGTGCAAGCGTCTGATCCAAGAAGCAACAACTAAAACAGGAAGGATAAAATCTGCCCCACATTAATGAACACATCATTTTAATTTGGGGCCTGTGCCACGACACCCATTGCCATCTCTAATGCAAACATATATGTAGGCAGTTATTAAAAGACAGTTATCCAGCAGCTTGTAAAAGCTCTATTGAGTGACTGCAGCCTGTTGTGTAATTACATACTTAGCTCATCAGCAAAGTATTTATCATTATTAGCTGATCATTATCACTAGGAGAAGACACTAGAGTCTGGTCTATAAATACGCATTTAAACCAAATTTAAAACAGGATCGTCCAAGTCAGAGATAAAAGGAAATGGAAGGAGGGAGGGAGGAATGAGGTCACTCAGTTCACTTGCTTGCCAATGAAGAAGTATTATTTGTAACATTCCCTCTAATTTATGTCTTGATCTTCTCAGACTGGAAGCCAATGGAAGCATCCCCTTTTTTCAGAGGGTGAAGACAGAAATAAAACACTCATCACAAATGGCCCTGCATCCCCAGTGCAATTCCAGATTTCTGATTTGCCTTAAATACACATAAGCACAATACCAGAAAGTTAAACACTGGTTTACTCTTCCCCTCAGTCTCTGGGCAAGCTATCCATTATATATATATATATATATATATATATATATATATATATATATATATAATCGAATGTATGTCATATGTTCATTATTCACTTTTATTGAACAGAATTTGCATAAACAGTTATTGGATTGGGCTGTGTGAGTTGGTAATGGAGAAGGTGCTAGCCAATACATTCCTTCCATTTTCTCCTAGTAATTCTTCACACTGAACTGCATTGAAAATATGCAGAGCTCATCCCGGGAAAGAAAATGTCTGTTTCTACTGAACATAGTGAGGGTGCTTTCAAAGTGGCCTCACTTGTCTCAACATGTTACTTCTGTCTTCAACCTGTGAAGCCCAAGCATGTACACAAGAAAACCTTGATAGAAGGTGCATGTAATAAAATCTCGCTGTGTTTTTCCTACGGAAAACAGCTTCAGTAGGGTGGGTGACATATACAAGAGAACAAGCCAAATAATAATAATAATAATAATAATAATAATAATTTCCACTATTATGATCATGGTATTTAACAAAATCAAGCTGCATAAAGGAATATCTAAGTTATGTAAAGGGTGGGTTGCCTTTATCATCTGTAAATGTTGACCTCAGCAGCTTTATCTCTTTGCTTGTATAAGGAAGATCAAATAAAATTGCATGTGAGTTCTTCATTATTAACAACAGGGGGAAAAGATATTCAGTACAGTCATATAGTAAATAATACCTAGTTATCTAACTTGTAAAACTTGTCTGGAGATTCAGTTTGTGAAACCTTTGAGCATAATATACCTCACTACCAAGAGGAGAGTAAGCAAGGGCATTGGTTACAGTGTAGCCAAGGTAAAGGAACAATCAAGATTATTTCTGACTGAAATTTAGTGGTGCCAGAGAGTGAGATTATAGGTAAGAAAGTCAGCAGTCCTGGAAACTGGTAAAATATAAGACATCATTAATATGAGGCTAGCTGGATGCCACACACATTGCTGGGTACTCAAAAGTGAGCAAGGGTATGTTTTTCCAAGATCAGTCCCATTGCATCTCACCTGATATCTGCCAAGGTCTTTTAAGCAAAAGAAGGTCTCCATCAAAGCCAAAATGAAGTAAGTAAATCCAAGACGCTGCAGAACACCTGGAATCCTTGCCCAGCTCCATGACACTGTAGGTACAAAGCTGAATGTTACATATAAGACCCAATTTGAGAGAGAAAATTCCAGTACATGATCTGCAATCATGCATGTTACATATTTTTATATTTGGCCAAAAAGTACTGAGTAATCAGATGCATCAAGGATTTGGTTCCAATACCAAGAAACTTATGGGCTAAGGCTTGGAGTCCAGTGATTGTGTGCATTCAGGTCCCAGAAGCCTCTTCAGGCATAGTAAGGAATACATGGGTGCAAGAATAGCCTTTGCAGTTGACTGGCAGTATGAGACTTCTAGATCAGTATGTGCCATCCTGGTGCCCTCCAGATGTTTTGGACTATAACTCGCATCAGTCCCAGCACAGTCATAGAATCAAAGAATTGTGGGGTTGGACAGGACAGCGAGGGTCATCTAGTCCAACCCCCTGCAATGCAGGAATCTTTTGCCCAACGTGAGCTTGAACCCACAACCTTGATATTAAGAGTCTCATGCTCCACCAACTGAGCTATCGTGTTGACTGAGGCTAGTGGGAGTGGCATTTTAAAATTTCCGGAGGGCACTAGGATGGTGAAGGCTATTCTAGATTCACCATAGATCCTAGGAGCTGACCTTTTGCCTTTGATAGGCCAACTCTTTGAAGTAGCACTTTGAGCCTATTGCACATCAGGCTTCAACTCAACTCCCCAGTGTCACCTCCAGCCAAGAACAGCAGAATCCGTGGATTGCAAAAAACCAAATGCTTTCAGGTCTGGAATTGGGTATAGCTGTCCACATCAACAGCCTCACTCTGACAATGCGCTCAATGAACTACAGAACAGTTGGAGAAAGTTCCTCTATGCAACCTTCATTGCGCCCTGTGCGCATCAATGTCTTTGCCTCCCTGTCAGCCCACCACTACCGAGAGATGAAAGTTAGCTAGTCTCCTTAGAGGTGCCCAGACATTTTGACAATTTCAGACATGTCTCAACTTTCTCCCAATCAAGCTGTCTGTTCTCTATTCTAAAATACTGTCCTTTCCACAAAGCCACCCAGCAACTTAAAGTGCTTACATTTACAATAGTGAATCTGAGGATTAATCAGCAGGTTTCATACTTTTAAAGCTCTGGGCTCCATCCAGCTTGTGCTGTCCACTTAAAGGGGAAGTATTCCCATCAGTCCATTACTGCCATTTATTCTTAATGTACTGCTCTTTTGTTGTGCAAGCACAAAGGGGACAAAGACAGAAGAGGAGGCTGCTGAAGAGTGCTTGGCTTTCTCATTTGCTCTCATGGAGGCGGAACTTGGCCATTCTGAATAAAAGGACAATGAACTCAAGTCAAATTTTATGGGAATGTCATTTGTCTAAGGCAATCATTTTGTTTTATGCTCTCCATTTCAAGCTGTAGGATATTTTTGAGTAGGGGGCAGTATTTTACAGTCCATTTTCCTTGTGGTGAGTAAGCACTGGAGACTTATCTGATTATTTACATCAGGGGTTGCCAATGTGGTGACTTCCATATGTTGCTGGACTGCGGCACCCATCGTCACTTAACACTAGCCGGGATGATGGGGCTGGCTGGGGATGATGGGAACTATAGTCTAACAACTTCTGGAGGGCTTTACATTGGCTGCCCCCAATGGGGCTGGAAAAAAATCTCTGAGCCTGAAACTCTGGAGAGATACTGCCACTCAGGATAGACCATATTGGGACTGACAGACCAATAGGCTAGCTCACTATAAGATACTAGCAAATCTTGGCATTCTGTAAATTTAGCGAAATATTGCTAGCAGCTCCTCCTAGCCCTGCAGCTAAGCCTTACCCAATTGTGAAAAAATAAGAGAGTCCCCACAGTCCTGACATTTTGTCCTGGGTGTAGCTTGGCTTGCTAGTGCTGGAATGAGGAGATTTATAATTTTGACCTTTTGATATGAAGATGTCCCTCCTTCAAAGGCTACTAGCTATGATACGACTATTGATGAACGCTAGCCACAGTGACTATGCTCTGCTGCCACAGCTGGAGGTAGCAACAGTTCTGAATACCAGTTGCTGGAAACCACAGAAGGAGAGAGGGCTCTTGGGCTCCCACCCTGCTTGCTGGTTTCTCACAGGCTTCTAGTTGGCCACTGTGAGAACAGGATGCTGGACCAGATGGGCCATCGGCCTGATCCAGCAAGTTTTTCTCGTGTTCTTATGTTCATGCAATGCCAGCTAGGTTGCAGACATACCATTCTTTTTCTAACTTTTATGCTCTCACAGGTATTTGTGTGGAATCATTTCAGAGAGGACTGAAATTGCATATATATATATATATATATATATATATATATATATATTAGAAATCGCTGTGTTGCTAAATATATAATCCTTGCCTTTCAAACACACAAATGTTGGCATGAACGGGGGTGGGCAACCAAAAATCCTTTGACTAATGGGATGAGTGTAAAAAAATACTAGAATTGAAACGTTGCTGAGAAAGTCCATTCTGATTCAGATAAATGGAAAAGTGTGGTATAATATTACCCGTTTTCCATCACATTACGAAAAAATGTTAGATTGTACTGGGGTGTGATTGGGTTAGTATTAGGTTTTTTGATCATATGATACATGGTAGAAACCCTTCACATTACTCTTGGGAAACTACAAAGCCAGCTGGCAGATACTGAAAACTCAAGTCACAAATTCGCAACATATCATCTAGCTCATTTTCAATCACATTTAGTTATTTATTAAATTATTGTATTTTCAGAACCCTGAAAGAGTCAGGTATGATAAAATTTGCATCATGCCAATCAGCCAGGCATAGACTAAGGTACTGGTATTAAATATAATCTTTTATTACATTTCCTCTCTTCATTCCATATTTGAATATGAGACACAATCAGCCATATGAATTGGTTCAATTATTTCCAAGATTTCTTTTGGAGTCTTGGTGCAAAACACATCTGAGCACAAAAGCCAATGAAAAAGGGAGGTAGTGGATCAGGAAGATAATAAAATATAATCTGGAGGCTTAAAATTCATAATTCTAGACCTGTAGGGCTCAGACGCAAAGCTTTCCAAAAGAGAAACGTCCTACACTTAAGATTATTTTCCTGTTGCTCACACTTAAAATTCTGAATTTGGCTCAGGTGAAGGCCTCTCCCCAAATTATGCTACTGCAGGGGTAGCTGCCTTGTTGTCTAGCATAAATAGCAATATCTGGAACATATAATAAAGCTTATCCTGCAAATTCTTAACTGTTAAATGTTTTTCTTTCCTAATGTTTTCGCTGCTTTCAAATTCTTTTAAGTACTATTGCATACCCTCCAACATTCCTCAGATGAAAATAGGGACATTTCTCACTCCCCTCCAACTGGCCTTCATCAACCGCCCGCCCCCCAATTCTTTGGTCATTGTCCCCCACAGAGCATTTTCTGTCAGAAGAAGGGGCAAGATTAGACACAGACGCACAAAGCTTTTTTTAAAAAAAGAAATAAATAAAGGCTCCTTGCACTCTGCTCCATTTCCTCTTTCTTCCCACCTGGGGCAGCCCTGCCCTCTGCCTGCACCTCAGAGCCAACGTATCATGCGGAGTTGGGCCTTGGTCGCAGCAGCCTTTTCTCCCTGCCTGCTCCCCAGCAATTGCTGCAAACTGCCCAAGGGAGAAGGCTAGTTAGTGGTAGCCATGGAGAGGCAATGGGATACGCCCTAGCAGACACCACTGCCATCACCACCGTTTCTTGGGACAAGGGCCAGCTCATCCTCCTCCTCGACCTCAGCAGTAGCAGCAGTGGCAGGGGAAATAGGGACATTCCAGGATCAAATCAGAAGCCAAGACAGTTTTCATGATTCCGGGACTGTGACTGAACAATAGGGGCACTGGGAGGATATGCTATACAATCCATTATCCCTTTGAAGTAAGTCACTATGACATGAATTTTACAGGTAAGGAACTGAGATGTGGATACATCAAACCCTAGGCCCTATTCAGATGGAATAAGGCCTAGGGTCTGATGGAGGCAATTCCACACCCTGTTTCCTTGGCAACACAAATCATAAGGCAAGGTATTCATCCAAACACCCTTTTAAATGCTGTCTCAAACCCATTAGTGTCCTGTGCTAAAACTGCAAGCATACAAAACTTTCCCAGGCCCAAGTATCTTTCTCAAACACTGAATTCATTGTTAGCTGAATTCTTTTTAACGCTGGGACCTACTAGTATACCCAAATACTTTTACATTTCAAAAATGCAGTCCATTTATACTCTACTTAAGGTGATGTTCAACATTGTTTGTTCTGCCAGAAATTATTCACGTCCCTTTCCTAATCTTATTCACTAGACTAAAGCTTCTTTTAGGTTTAGGACTGTCAGCTGTTGATAATCTTATTGATGTAGGGTGCTTTTTAGAGCAATGGGAGTGACTTTCTTTATAGTCTTCTGCACACCTTTGGGAAACCTAGTCCTCTAAACACAGTAGTACTTCTAAGCAAACAGGCCTGAGATTGCTCTGTAAATCCTGTAAAAGGAACGCAAGGATGATGATGATGATGATGATGATGATGATGATGCAGGAGGAGGAGTGTTAGCATTGCTATGGAGGAAATATCTATGCTAGAAGCTGAAGGAAAATATATTTAATTGAATCTTTTGAGTTGGATTGGGGGTTTTAAGACAGCCATTGTCTCTTACATCCTGCCCTGCTATAGCACAGAGGCGCACTCCTTCCAAGACAGATGGATGCCAACACTCTGAAGAAACCTATCTGAATACCACCCACCCACAGTGCCGTCCTCTACAGAGGAAACCATACATCTATCCTGGTTCCAGCTTCAGAATCCTGCAGATACAGAACTTTATTAAGGATTCCATTATTAAGCTCTTCCTTTAAAGAAAGCAGAAACTCGTGGTTAGGAAGAAATATGTGCAACCCCAACTGCACTGCACTGTGGATTTAAAAGGGCAACTGTCAATAACATAATGCATTTCGGGGGTGGAGATTGGGATTTGAAAGCTGACACCACAATGGCTCCATAAGTACTCAGCACTTGGAACTGGCTATCCTGCAGTACTGAAGTGCAGAGATTTGCAAAAAAAATAAAAATAAAAAAGTCACAAACATATCTAATCTAAGTGCCAAGTTCTTAGTTCCTTCTCATTTCTCTCTCTTCCCTTGGGCTGCATAAAAAGAGCTGTCTTTGGTTTCTGCTGGAAAATGGATGCTGCATGTAACAGCCAAAAGAGAGAGAGAGGGAGAGAGGGAGGAGAAAGCATTCTGATAAATAAATGATCCACACAGGGTGTTATGCCACCATGACTGTTGCTGCCTTTCCCAAATACTTCCAGTGCTTACAGGATTTGCCATTGGGGGCAGCAGAAATGAGACACCTCCGGTCTGGTAATTGTTGTTTCTAAAAGTCTCCAGATCAGATTATTGTCACTAAAAGTACCTCTCTGTTTTGCCAAACTAAATTAGCAAGCCATTTTTGCTGAAAGCAGAAAAGTGTTAACAGTTGACATGCCCAGCACCAGCTGCTGGGACTTTAATAGGCAATAACTAGATATGT